AAATGACTGGCACGAACGATGTGATACAGTCTCTACAGTCGCTTGGCAGAAAAAAGTCTGCCGTCAGGCCAAACTCATCCCTCCTGACACGCCTCATCATGCGCAGTGAATAAAAGTGTATTTGCGCATTCCGAGCCTTGGAAAAGGCGTGGCAAGACAAGGAAACAAAGGAAAGACAAAGTGTCATAATCGCACCACCGCGTGGTACTCCCAACTCCAGGCCCGGTCAATTCCCTGCTCTACAAAAAAAAACTACTGAACAGTTTACAATGAGTATAACAAAGACACTAAGACCAACTTATCAGGGTGAAATTTGCCAGTGTAAAAGTCGGTCAAATAGCCGCTGGAATGATTTGAGAAGAATGGTCGAGGTCCTCTTGGTTTGAGTATGGTTGGACGAGAATATACTTCACTAAAAATTGATCTACTGGAATCAAATACAAATTGAAAAGCATGCTTATATATTAGAAAACAAAGACAAAGACATACACTATGATGTCCCATAAGTTAGTGGCTAACATCACTCCCAACGTGAACATCAAACACTTGGCCATGGTCTTCAATGTGAAGATGCTCAGTATAAAATCAAAAATCCTTACATCCAGAGGGAGTGCTGAAAAAAATTCTTGAAAACAAAATCTTCAGAATTAAAAGAGAAACAAAAAATGATGAAGGCAAATTCAGGACATTTCTAGGGCAAAAATTCGTAAGCTCGATGCCCTTATTGGCTGAAGCGCTCGTGAGCGCTCGGGACTATCAAAGCACACGTTACGCTGACGTGGAACACCTGTATCGGAGCACTAATCGAATTTAGCTGCTCGCAAATACTATATGTTTAGTTTTTCTCCATCACCCCATCCTTATGTATCAGACATCGGGCTGACCTTATTTAAATTTGAAAAAAATTGAAATTGTAGATCACAGTCGATATGTTCACTGGGGTAGACGTCCCAACAGAATCACAAAACGGACTAATAAATCAATCAAGTAACGAAACTTTCGTCAGAGGAAGATGGGAAATAGAAATGCCTGATTTCAACAGGACCATTCCGATCTTCCTAACAAGTTTATACAAGTATTCATTCCTAACACGTTTTTACACGTATTCACAATATAATTTAAAAGCGTCAGAAATATTGCCAGTCACACTTCCTGCTTGACAGCCGTAGCGCGGCCCTTTTGCGGCGCAGGTGCTCATCTCATTATAAGTCCTATTCCCATTAAGTCAGAGCTGAT